TGAAAAAGTTAAAAAGTTAATTCCGGCCAAAAATTATGTAAACAATTATGTAATGCGGGCCAAAATTTTGTAGATCATGGCCGTTAGCCAATCAAAATCGAGGAATTCCGTGAAATTTTGGTGCGGCTAGGTTCAATAATGCATTGACGACCTGCGGTTTATTTTTGGCCAATGAAATTTTGGCGTAGATCAATCACGAGACTGCGAATTTTTACGTATGCGATTGCCATGATAACAGGAAAAGACTTCGCCACCGCAATCGTATCTAATTATGGTAAAGATTGTAACTAAAGATAATTTCACCACTATTGGTGAAATTGGTGTTGAATTGAAATTTGGTGAAATTAACTTCACTAGAATCTCTCATTGTAACGTTGATTTCAGGATAAAGGTCGTACTAAATATAAATTTCGGTCCTCATTCCTATTGATATTGCATAACGGAAATTTTGTCAAAGGGCAAGAAATAAATATTTATATGGGACAATCTATGATCGTTTGTGCCTTTTTTTTAGAGGTTTTTTTTTTTCTTGAAAAAAACATCTAATAGTTAAATCATTCTCCCATATATTCATGTCAATCTGCAATTAAAAAGTAATTAACGCAACCATTATTAAATAATGTAAAAGATAAGAAATTTTGAACTTACACCATCAAAACCATTGTCGTTAACAATACTAACTAAATCACTAACAAATTGATTATTTTGATTATAAGCCTTAGTTGTAACATTAGAGAACGGGGGGATTTTTGTTAAGTCGTCATTAGTAGGTAACAAGACGGAAAGTATTAACTATAAATAATAAATTAGTCATTATAATAAGTATATACATTTAAAATATATTCAGCATTTTAAAATTTATTACTTTAAAATTCAGATTAGGATTTCTAGCTTTATAATCTCTCAATGGTTGAAATTTTTCATACTGATTAAGAAACACCGTCAATGGCCCAGTGCCCTTAGTAAGATCAGTTGGGCCAAAAGCTATAATAATTTATACCCAATAATATTCATTAAATTTAATCCATTATAATGATTGGAAGTTTTTAAATTCCACTTACCAATATAGTTTAAGTAAGTAATTGACGAATTGATAAGTTTACTAAAATCATCCTGTTTCAAATTATATTTATAAGCCGGATAATATCCAACAATCGTATTTGGTTTTGGTGGTGGTGTATTCACACAATTCTGGCTAAAAACCCCAATGTTCACAACTAATATGAAAAGGGCATATAAAAAAAGTATTATGAACTTATAGGGCGTGAATGAACGAGTTTTCATATTTATCATTAAAACATAAAGTGTCCTGAGTATAGAAAAAGAACCACCCTCAAAGAAATCTTAATATTGAGAATGAGTCTATATAGTAAGTTAGTTTCTTAAAAGAAAGCCTCATGTAGGTTTAAAAAAGGTTATAAATATTTAATTACTTTCGGTGTTTTCGAACAAAATCGCCGTTATGTGCAATACCAGCAAGAATGA